TGACCCCCATGGGCTCAGGTACTTGAACATCTGGTCCCCAGTGTGAACTGTTGGGGAGGTTAGATTGCCTTGCTGGAGAAAGTGTGCCATTGGGGTGGGCTTTGAGAGTTTATAGCCTCTCTGCACTTGAAGTTCTTTCTGTGCTTGATGTTTGCAGTTGAAGATGTGATCTCTCAGCTTCCGGCTCCTGCTGCCTCCTGCCATGTCTCCTACATCATTATGGACCCCCAGCTCTGGAACCGGAAGCCAAAGAAACTTTTTTGTCTAAGTGCCTTTGGTCATGGTATTTTATTACAGCAACAGAAAAGTAACAGAGTTAGTACTATAGATCCCACAGACACTAAAAGGATCGGGGTATGGTCTTAGTCTTTTCAGTATTTCACAAAAATACTGTAATTTATAAACAATGGATAATTTATAAAGAATGGAACTTTGTTGCTCACACTTTTGGAGGCTGGGAAGTGCAAGATGATGGCTTCAGGAGCTCAGTGCCTGGTGCCGGCCTGTTCTTCATATGCAGTGCCTTGCTGTGTCCTCAGACTGTACGGGAGGCAGCAGCAAGCTTCCTCAAGCTGCTTTTATTTATTTTATTTTTAGGTATATGAGTGCTGTGCCTGAATGTATATAAGTGCACCCATGTCATATAGTGCCCTTGGAGGTCAGAAGAGGGTGATGGGTCTCCTGGAACTGGAGTTAAGGACAGTTGTAAGCCACCATGTATGTGCTGGGATTCGAACTTGGGTCTTCTGCAAGAGCAGTCCGTGTCCATGCTCTTCACCACTGAGCCATCTCTCCAGCCTCTCAAGCTGCTTTTATAGAAGTACTAACCCTGTACATGAGAGAAGAGCCCTCCCAGTTCATTTTGTTAAACCAGCGTTACCTGCAAACTACAACCAAAGATAGTACAAGAAAACTGAAAATTGATAATGCCTATGACTGTATACACACATTCTCGAAAACACCACAAAATCCAAAGCTTGCAGTATATGAAAACAGCAATGCAAAGTAACAGTTTATCCTGGCTGTGCAAGTCTGGTTCAGGATTTGGAAACCATGGTAATCCGTCTGGTAACAGACTAAAGAACAAAATTACACGATCTTATCAATACGTATATTCAGAGAACATTTGGCAAGTTAGGAATAAAGGGGAACTTCTTAAACCTAAAAAGAATATATGTAAATAATATAATGGTGAATGTCTGTTGTTCCAACTGTTACTGAAAGTGAAGCTAGAAACTCCTAGCCATTGAAGTTAGGCACAATGGAGAGAAAGTATGCATAGTGCAATCCTCCCTAAGTTTTCACAAATGTTTTTTGCTTAGTTGATTGGGTACTTGGCTTGAAACAGTCTCACTGTGTAACTCAGGCTGGCTCTAACTTCCAAGTTTTTTATCGACAGGGATGGGGTGCTCTAAATAGGCCTTCAGGAACAAATAGTATGCAGATCAAAGGACATTTTTCTACTGGAGCTCAGGAAACAAAGCAACAGTGTGACCTATTTGTAAGGTACAGAGCAGATATTCATTCACACAGCAGTGTAAATAAGGCATAAGTTATCTAATCTAAACATAAACCTAAGGGACACTGCCCTTCAGAACCCTGAGTTGGCATACATGCCTATCTGGCTTTGCCAGCATAGACAGTCTTGGCTACTGGTGACTTTGCATGTGAGGTCTAACATGCTTTCTGTGAATTCAAAGAGGGCAGTTGTCTCCATCAGATTCCCAGCGCCCACATGGCGGCTAACTGTCCATAACTCCAGCTCCAAGGGAATCTAATGATCTCTTCTGACCTCCATGGGCATTGCACAGCACAAGTATACTTACATACATTGCAGGTAGTACACTTATACATACAAAATAAAAAAAGCATTTTTTAAAAGGTGGGAGAATTAAGTCTATCTAGTGTTAAGACTTCCTGTGTGCTAAAGAGTGTGCCAGTGGAACAAACCAGACAACTCAGGGTGGATTCACAGTTAACTTCTCTACAAATGGTACTAGAGGAATCGTTCCTCTGTGGTATAACAGATGTCCATGTTTGCTAGCACAGAGCTATGCCTTTAAATTTCCTGATAAAAGTGTCATTTGTTCATTAGGAATCCCTTTCAACCACATTTGAGCTTAATGAATGACTCAGGCTAGGGTCCCTTGATTGCATCAGTTATGGGGTTGGTCACGAGGGTGGTGGTTTGGTACGGTGGCCTAACCGCCTCCCATTCTCCCATTCAAATGTTACCCTATATGCCACTTCCTTTTGGCTGTACCTGATTTTTATCCTGTATAATAAACTGGCAAACAGAAGTGAAGTGTTTCCTGTGTTCTGTGAATTCTTCTAGCAAATAGGGAGATGGGGACATAGGAGCTCCTGAACTTGTAGTTGGCCTAGCAAAGTGTGGGTAACCTATAGTTGGTATTAAAATAAGACTGAGTTTTTTGTTTTGTTGTTTTGCATTTTTTGAGACAGGGTTTCCGTGTAGCCCCAGCTGACCTGGAACTCGTTATGCAGACCAGGCTAGCTTCGAACTCACAGAGATTTGCCCGCCTCTGCCTCCCAAGTGCTGGGATTAAAGGCGTGCACTACCATGAAGGACCATGACTGAAATTTTGACCTGATTAGTAACACTAGTTCTAGGTAGTGTCTGAACTGGATTGGATTTTGGTATACTTAGTTATTACTGAAGAATTGGTTGGTGTTGAGGAGGACCCATCTATATTAGAAAAAAGACATCCCAACATCCATGTGGGGATGGAAGGAACTTCAACATTAACATCATATCATACTTAAAATTGATGATGGGCTTAATGTAAAAAGTAAAACTATAATACTTTTAGGAAAAATACCCATGAACTTTACTGAAGAGGATACACAGATGGCATATAACCAAGAAAATATGTTCAACTGTAGGAAATCAGGATGCCAGGCCCTAGGGTGAGGTGAGCCTAAAACTTATAGGTCCAGGCTGAATTCTCTGCTAAAGGAAGGGGCACTGAAAACAGTGGTTCTGATAATCCCTCTCTTGCAGAACACTGTTGGACTGGCAGGAGGAAGCGGTCTGGTCATAAAAGTGCAGGCTCCCTGCTCTGTGGGAAAGCATCTTCGTCAAAAACCCTTAGCTCATCTCCTTGTCCTGAACAAATAACTCAGCTATCCCTGGCTAAGAGATTAGGCCAGGTTAAAGGTTTACTCCTGAGCTAAAAG